TTGCAGTTTCGGCTCCAATGACACAAGTGGTGCATCCAGTGTCAATGATGGCGTATCCTGCTGGAATGCTTGCCAAGAGAATCTCAACATCTTGTTCCAGCGAAGTTTCATGTACCATGTAAGAAAACTGCAGTACGTTCTCAACCACGTCCACCGTTTCAGCCAGGTTGATGTCTTCACGTTTGACTTTCTTCTTGGCATCTTTCACAGGCTTTGTTGGCTTCCTGTCAAAGGATTTCTTTTCATAACGTGGAGGCTTGACTGTCGTGGTGCTGTCGATGGAGCTGCTGTCGAGGTTCCATCAGGAGGTGGAACTGCTATCACACTCATGTATGGTTGGCGAGACTTTCGAATCTCTTTCATCTTCTTCTTGGATTCCTTGTAGGTCCGGAAGTTCTTCTTGAAATCTCGTTTGGCCTTTTGTTGTATGGCCAGAATCTCAGCCACATCTTCCTCTGTTCCAGAACCTTGTGAATCATCTTCATCGACATGCATGGCTTGTTCATTCTCCGACTCATCGCTGGTGAGAGGCCCAAGGGAACTCGAGGAATCGGCCTCTTGAACCACATAGGCTTCTCTCCTAGGACGTTGAGGTCTTCGATCATCGGCTCGAGGGTCCTCAATGTCACTGGCACGAAGGATCTTCACGACGTCATCAAATCGACTTGAGCCGCCGGTGGCTCTGAGCAGATGAGACCCTTGTTCTCTTGACAGGCCAAATTTGCGAAGGAAAAGATGACCAAGTACAGATTGTGGAAATATGGCCTTTGGCTTTGTATGTGACAATTCCAATGTTCCCAGCAATCTTTGCATGCGAAGTTGTTCCTTTCGCTGATCACCACGATGGGTGCCGGTGGACTCCTTGTCGTTCTTAGAGCTTTTCGAATCCTTGGAGCCGGACGAACTTGGTGGCTTCGAAGCTGCTGGAGTTCGAGGAGGCGTTCGTCTCGGACTCAACGGTGGGTCGAAAGGGCCATGCTGTGGAGCCGGAGCCGGATGCTCTGATCCTGTCTCATCAGTCTGGTCAGCATCAGGCTCCTCAGCATGATTATCGGTCGGAGGCTCTTCACCTCCAGATTCTGCAAGGCTGTCGGATTCGGCGGCTTGTGAATCGGTGGCATGGTGTTTTCTCTTCTTCCTAGCAGCGGCGCGCTCTTGCGCGATGAGGTTTTGCAAACGGTTCAATGCTGTTTTGAAGCGACTTGCAAAAGCTGTTGCACCCTCACCATTGCGACGCTTGAGGCCAAAAAGAAAATCATCTATGCACTCGTGAAGCTCAGTCTCAGGCAGGAAACGATAGTGCTCGTCCCAACACTTGCAACCAGCCTTCGGGGCTGCGAAGTGCAGCTACTGAAAGGTGCTCAGTAGCCTTCCATGCTTCTCCTGAGAGCTTTGCTAAAACACGAGGTCCAGCCAGATGTTGCTGTTCGTCCCCTAGGCTTGCAACTGCTAAGATCACCTTGCGGCGAAACTCACGATAGCCAGACGGTCGGCCGTCAAATGCCAAATCACGCAAACTGTCTCTGGTGTCCATCCAGGGTCAGAAAAAAGGAGTGAATGTCGCCAAGATCTCAATGAGGTGCCAAGATGGCACGGATACACCCGTGATGGGTGTCACAACCCGGATTGGCCGGAACCTAGGTGGAGGCCTCGCTGGAGCACGCGAGGCACCGCTACCATGTAAAATGGTAGGAGCCACAACAATCAGATGCAATGTACGTAGTCCAGTGCTACCCAATGTCGTCAACAAATGGGATCAACAAACCAGAAAGGTTTCACGAAAAACTCTTCCTCCCAGACGCTCCTTTTATACCATGGCGCAACCGGTGCGACGCACGACGTGCGTCGAGATTCAAGGGCCCTTGATCCAATGGCCATTGCGCATGACCTGTCGATCGAATGAACGATGGTCGAACTGCTTGCAATTTCACAGTATCTATTTGTGATTCTGGTAGGAACCACAAAGGTAGCACCCTACCTACAACCTGCCTCCTATTCAACGTCCTCCTACCCAAGCGGCCGCGCTTCTTTCTACCGAGTCCTGTCCAGTCTGAGTCCGCTCAACCCTTGAGCCAAACATTTGTTTGGCGTGCCTGCTTCGCATGATCCGAAATGCTTTCGGATCGAACTGCTATCGAACTGCTTGGTTGATTCATGAGAAGGGTTCATGGTGAACTTCCATCAAATTCACATATATCTAAGTACAATTAAGTATATATCTACAATCTATATAACAGAGAAAGCAATCTCAAAGACATGCCGTCTCACAGACGTCCAATGAGTTCAAGATAGTCCAAACATTACAATCACCTTGCCTTTGGGATCCTTTAGGCTAGCAGACTAGAAGTTGTGCAGCCCATGGCGTTTCAGACGCTCAGATGCCACATCACGCGGCCGGAACTTACGGATCACGGGCGCCCAAATCGGCATGACGGATTTGAGCCAGTATATTTAAAGGGGTCTATACATTGGATAAGTCGGAAATATCAGGTCTCCACCGAGTCCTGCGCCACTGTTTTCAAGGCTGAAAGGTGTGTCATCGGTTGCCACGGTGGCTCAGGACGTAGCGGCTGGTTGAGGGGGACCATCACATACTAAATTTCCTGGTCAGCAAGATGAAGAGGAGTGGGAAAGATGAAAAGACGAAGCCCGCAAGAGCCAGAGCCAAGGATACTTGTTGCATCGACCCTTCTGCTTTGGCCAACCAGGAGCGAGGAGAAACTTGGCATTTGAGACATGAACTCACTCCCCGGCGTGCAGCAGGGGTTACATTCTACATACTAGTCGCACTGCAATGTGTCCCTTATTTAGATCTCAAAAATGCCTCTAACAGATATTGCCCTCCAGCCTTTGGTGCCCCAAAATGGAAAACGGTTGCAGCTGGCTGTCAGTTTGGTTTCTTGATGTTTCTTGGATTGGAGTAGGACGAGTGATGGGTCAAATTCGACGGAAATGGGATGAAATGGGCGTGTCAATTCGACACTTGGGGAACTTGGATGAGCTCCACCCATGACAAGCGGCCCACCGGGACACCGGGACGGCTGAATCAGACACCGTGACACCGTGACCACGGTGTCGAGCGGGTGAGGGAGCGAACATTCGCCCATTTGATCCCGCGTTTGGCGGCCATGTCATCGTCCTTGGCTTTGCTGAATTGGAGGTAGAGCTGAAACGATGCAGTTTGGGGATGAATTGGAGGTAGAGTTTTGCTGAATTGGAGGTTGAAATACAGTTTGGGGATGGGTTTTTGATATTGTCCTTGGCTGCCCGACCAGTTTGGCCGCCATCCTTCCAGCTATTACAGCTATCGAGCCAGCAAACGTGACTACCACATATCGAGCAAAACGATGAGTATCGAGCGAACTGAGAACATTGACGGTCTTCTCACGAGTTTGGGGGACGACAGGAATGCTGAAGTCGACTGTGTGGGTGAGGCTCAAGCTTTGTTGTTCTGTTTTGATCCAAAAATTCTGGACATGGCCAGGTGACTGTTGTGCCAGAAAGGCTGCAGTAGTGTAGAATTGATGTTGGTTGATTGCGCATGGTTTGCACAAACATTCTCGGGTGTTGGGGAGAGACTTTGTTTTGATTGAATGTTGATCGGTCACACGTTTGGTACATGTGTTCAATTGCTTGGTGTTTCAACAATTGTGTGATTTCCGAGCACGCTGAGCACACCCGTGGCTAGGAATAGCCGTTCCATAAGCCTAGTAGCAAGAAGTTACTAGTAGCTAAGGGCATCTCTACAAGTAACAAGTGCATCGCTACTAGTAGCAAGAAGCTACTAGGTGGAGCCCATCGCTATTAGACTGGAGGCCATTGCTACTAGTAGTAGTAGGAAGCTACTAGGTGGAGGCCATTGCTACTAGTAGCCAGATGCTACTAGTTTGAGGCCATCGCTAATACTATTAGGTTGGAGGCATTTGCCACTAGTAGCAAGAAGCTACTAGGTGGAGGCCCTCGCTATTCGGCTGGAGGCCATTGCTACTGGTAGCAAGAAGCTACTAGTAGCCGAGTCTATGGCCTGTGTAGATCTACAGTTCTTATTCTTCCGCCGGAATCGATGCCAGCCCACCAAGGCCCCCGTGTGCACATGGCCAACGGTATGCAAAGAAAGGTAACCCAGATATGACCAATGCTGCTTGAACTCACTGATCAGGTGTTTTTGATTGTTTTTGTATGTCCTTGCATTATCAACAGTGCTTTAGCAAAAGCGTATGTCCTACGTGTTTACTTGTTTTTGACAGGTTCATTTTGGTGTAAACAATCAGCGAAGCCAAGGTGGCGGATTCATACGAATGCAGAAAAGCATGTGGGCGAAGTCCCGACTGCAAGTTCTTCATGTATGAGACTTGGCACACTGAATTTTGGCCATGCTTTTACCGCAACTTCTTGGTCATGTGGGGGCCTGTAAGGCCTATAAACGACGATGCGACACATGTTTGCACACATCTTTGCACTCATGTTTGAGTGCATCGTTGTTCTGTCCAAATATTTACCCCTGCAGTGACTAGTCCACGTGAGTCACCACAGAGAGAGAGAGAGAGAGACAGAGGGACAGACAGCTGGTGGGCAAAAATACATGTAATGTATGGTTCTTTTTCACTCGTCCAAGGTTTTTGCCTAATTACAGAACACAAATCCGCAGGACACCAGGTTAAATAGAGTTCTTTTTGGTGGTGAGTGTCGTTTAAAGCCTGCTTTGATTGACTTGCCTCGTGCACGGAAGTGAGGATAGGAGGTCTGTGGAATGTTTCTAAATGTGCGGACCAGCAAAATGCAAGCTTTCATGTTCGATTCCATTTATTGGAAAGGCGATTGCTTCCCACGCTTGCTCAAACAAAGGACGATGGGTCACCTCGTGCTTTCAAACAACACATCATGTCTCAGTGGAAGTGAAGTTCCCTGGAAGCTTTAGTAGAAATCACCGCTGTTCCTTTCCGGTCTAGCGCTCAAAAAGGTCGGTCAGACCTAAACCGGCTCGTCAGGACCAGGGCACGATGGACTGCTGGCTCTTGGGTGACCTGTCCGGGATCGGATCGGAGCGCGGAGCGACCGGCCCGACGCCCGGCCCGACGCCGTGCCCCGAATCCGGAGTCACTGAGCCAGACGTGTTTGGTTGTGAATCAATAGGGATATTGCCCATCGTTTTGAAATAGAAAAATACGGCAGCATAAATTGGTTGAAGGCAAATGTTGTTTGCCTTCCTTCTTGCTGCACAAAATCCCTTAAAATCGCGAGCCTTGGGCATTCCCGAGGTGAGGATTCTGACTTCGAAGACGCTCCTGGTACCATCGCTGGGCCCTTGAGTTGCTTGACGGATCTTGGCGGTGGAGTCGGACGTGGGAGGTCAGGTGCCGAGGTTGTTCGGCCAAACTGGGTCTTAGTGTGGCACCATGGATTCACCAAGATAGGGATAGACTCGGATAGACCTGGCCCAGAACCACATAAGTACTTGCAGACCGTGTATGGATGGTTGTTACAGACCATCGGATCTACCATGGTGATGGACAGAGCCGGTCCGGTCCGTCGCAGAGCCGATCCGCCGATCCGTCGCCGAGTCCGCAGGTTGTGACTTGGACAAGACCTTCTCAGACTACTTGGAGCTTGTGCCCCGGCAGATATCGGCCCAGATCCTTGGGTTTTGCCATACATTTGCGTTATCCAGAGGGTTCGCAGTATGTGGTATAGATACTAGATGGACATGAGAAAGGATATGCTTTGTCTAGCATTGTCATGTTCAGCTTTGTTATGCCTATTATCCAGCACCGACTTCAACATCCTGCAAGTTGTTTTTGCTCGGTAGTTCAACTTACCTTGATCTAGGTCTAACATTCGCAAGCAACATAAACCTTCGGTGCACTGAACAAGCACCTTCGACCCGCGGTTCTCCGCGGTTCACCAATAAACGCCCACAGCTTCTGTATAACGCCCATGGAATGTCAGAAAGCTATAGAGAAACATTTGCAGACTCAATTACAAGGCAATGACTCCAAAGAGGGTTTTCACGCCGCAGATAACAAAAGAACACACTGAGGAAGTTCCAGGTATTTGGATGACTTAAACAGCATTGTTGCTAGGTTTTGCACACGAATACAGGTAGTGTTGGAAGCACGAGGGAATGGTAGACGAATAATGTTGCGCGACTCCGGTAAAGGAATGCACCTTCATGCCTTCGAAGCTCATTTTAGGGAACGTTTGGAAAGACAGGGAAATCCTCCTTCCCTCCTCACCCTCCCTTTCAATACAGGCCATAGTCAAAGCCAATGAGCACGGATGATGAAGCGCGGTTTGTCGCTGGCATGTTCGATCATTCCTCATTTTGCTTGACATACATGGCGCTAGAGGGAGCGCGTAGGTGCCGTGTAGACGCGAAAGAAACGCTGCATTTGGGTGCTTCCAGGAAGAGAGCGACAAGGAGAAAACCAAGCGAATCACCGGCATCATCCAGAATTTGGCGAAGCTGGTTCTTGATCACGACTACAGAGGCAGACCGCGGCATACAGGAAAGACACTAAGGGGGCGGTTGCCAACGCACATCAATTGCAGTTGATTGGGGGAGGGTCATGGAGGGGCTACGCTTCAAGATGGAAGAGATTGGAGATGGCATGAGATGAAGGCAGTATTAAGTTTTCCTCGGAATGGACATGGCCCACCTGAGTGTAGGGTTTCTCTGAATCATGTTCCCGGTTTTGTGGGGCTCACGTTCGGTCATGGCATGGCCACGTTCGGTCGGTTGAGTCCTTGAGTCCCCGTCCTCCCGTCCCGGCCGGTGCAGATGAATTATTCCACTCAATGGTGACGTTGGCCACCAAGTTTGCCAACTTAAAAAGTCCGGAGACCCAGAGGATCCTCTAGAGGATCCGTTCCTTCGTGCCACGCTTTCAGGCTGTTGCCGCTTTTTTTGGGGAGGCATGTTGCCTGCAACGCACCGTCGAGTCGAGGGTGTTGAATGAGTCCGTTCCAAGTCAGAGGTGGGTTTTGTTCCCAGACACTCCATGTATGTCATATATGCCTACATTGGGGTGGCTTCAGGGGCATACATGGAGTGTTTGGGGTTCCTCTTTGGCTCTTTGTTTTCCAACATGTTCCAACCATTTGGTCGCCTGTGCGGGAGTGCTTTTTTGGGAGGGGGAAGGGGGAGTCAGTTAGTTTGCGGGCTTTCGGCAGAAAAGAGGTTTGGACGGAGTTGCTGCATTGACCAGAGGACTGGTCATGTCACAGTTTCGACCGGGTGTGATGTTTCGACCGGGTCTTTGGCCTGGTCTTTGTGAAGTCTGAGAAGGCCGAGGTTCTTCGAGACGAGGTTCAAAGTCACGAGATGTTCCTTTTTGGCCGCACCACCCGTCGAGGTGCTTCAATCCAAATGAAGGTATGTTTTAACAAATCTGAATAGATTCGTTAGCGTCCGATCGCTACTAGTATCTACTTGTAGTGATGCCTTTGTTACTAGCAGCGTCCCCTTGTTCCGTTCCTAGTAACAGGAACCCCTAGTAGCGTCCTTGATACATGAAGATTTTATCAAGATTCGACATGGGTTCCAAGGCGAAGATCTTGCCAGCGTGGACTACAATGAGGTCATGGAGATTGACACCGTGGCCATCGATGCTTGGTTTAGGGTGCCAGGAGTGTGACTCACAGGAATGTTTGGGGAGGAAGACTTCCAGATTTGGTGAAGCTGTTCACGCTGTTGACCTTCTGTTTGGTTTTGAACAGCACCCATCCTTGTTTTGGATGCCTTCAGGTTCCCGCATGTGCAATTATGTACCTGCCCGTGTATGCAATCGTTTGCATTCATTTGGTTTCGGATCCTCTTTAGAGACCACGACGTCTTGTCTCCACTGTGTTCGTTCACATCCCACGTTCGGCAAACCCCCAAAACATACCAAAAGCCATTCGCCTTCGATTCTGGTTGGGCATGGGCACTTTGCATTTTTCTTGGTCCGCAGATCGACGGGGCGTGGACGCCGGGCAACCAGCATCCAGGCCTTCTTTGAACGGTCAGTTGAGAAAGGTTTTTGGCGTTTCAACCAATGGGTCATCAATGGGTTGTCTCGGACCACCGGGTTTTTTCTCGCGTGTCATCGTGCATGTCCTGAACATGTTGGACATGCAGAACACATAACGACGCCATTCCAACATCAACCGCCTCAATACAAAAGGAAGCATCCTCCGGGTCCCAACACACCAGGTCTTTGACCCGAACACCGGCGCGGGCGATGGTCTCAGGAGTGGTTGAATCATGAAAACGGGGAGCTGAGTTGGTACTCCGCCTCCGAGCGAAATCTGGTGCTGACCTTTGGCCGAGAAGTCGAGTGGAGAAGGCGGTCGAGAAGTCGGTTGGAGACCTAGAGGCTACTAGAGGCTACGAACGGAACAAGAGGACGCTAGTAGCAAAGGGCATCGCTACTGGTCACAAGGACGCTAGGTTGGTTGGAGACCATCGCAAGGTTCGATGTTTGGTTGTTGCTTATTGCCATGCCTTACATTCGAGGGCGAAACTAAGAGGTAGATTGATGAAATGCAAGTTGTCCAACTTAGGTTTGTGTGTTCGTCACTTTTGGAATCCCAGTTTTCACAACCCTCATTTCTTTCGTCCCAAGTGTTCGTCACTTTCGTGTGTCACGGACTGTTCCTTGACTCAAGCCCCACAGCAGAACAGCAGACTCAGCAACTATTCATGCGCTTTCTGACATACCTCGCCCAGGACCCGCACAGACCTGGATTGGCTTTTGAAACTGACCACCGGTGCCTTGGCGGCCTTGGCTTGGACCACTCTCCGGATCGACCCCGGCGCGAGACGCCGCTCCGGCGGAGGCGAGGTTTTAGACGTTTTATGTCGTCGCCCTGAGTTGCCGGAACAGCATTTTGGGGGGGCCATGGCGCCATGGCCATAAATCTTCCATTAGAGGAAGGGGCTGGTAAGCCTGGTAAGCGGCTGGTACAGGTCTTTTTTGGCAGGGTCCTTTTGATTTAGGGAGCAAAGGCACCAAGTCCCAACTCGCGTCACTTCCGCTCCCTCACATTCACGCCCGAAGTGGTTGCAAGGTGAGATTTTGAGTCCAAGCTTGTTGACTCTTGTTGAAGCTCAGCTTGAAGCAGGTCAGCAGATGGCATCCAACCTCCACCACCCTCACCACCTGTTTATTTTGCCGCTCCGTGGGCCAACGATGCAACATCGTCAAGGGAATTTGCCTCCTGCGGCTTCCCAAGGCCAAGAAGTCTCACCAGAAGACGTGGAGCGGCGGAATAGGCGATGTCATGGCCGGTGTCCATGGCGGGGTGAATCCTAGTCGAAGCTTGTTGGGCGTATTTGGAGACATCAAACATGTGTTTCCTGTAGACTTTTGATGAATGAAACCCGCCCATTTGGATTGTGAAACCTGTTCATTTGAAGATTTGATTGATCAAGTAAAAGTCTACATTAGTCAGGGATTCACAATATCTAAGACCAACCCTCGTCGCTGATGTTCCGTCACTCTTGGGTTATATATATATATATAAAGACACTTCTGGTGAGCAATTTTGCTATCACAAAGTTTCAAGGGTGAAAGAATTTGTTCATCATCCCTTCTTGACGAGGTCAAAGTGATTGGAGTTTACCAAGAAATCTCAACTCAACCCAGGATTTGTTGCAATATATATATTATATATATACTTCGTCCATCGCATGCAAATCATCGTTACTTCAAAGTTATATATATATATAACATCGGTGGCAGTAGCTTGTCCAGTAGCAATTCTCGCATTGAGTGTTTGTGGTCGGGGTTTGTATCATCATTAGCTGATGCTGAGCATGCGACTGGTCTCAAATGTGTCCTGACCCAGAAAGAGACAACACATGACAAGACACCTCACCCAGTACCTCACCCCTGTTGGAATGATCTTTGCCAATTTTGGTTGGGGGTTGGTATGTCCATCCCTTAGTTCATTGATACATTTGGGAAGAGGACCAACTCAACAACTAATTCCAGGTTCCGGTGATGCAACAACTCATCACCCTGGGGTTGACTGGACTGAAGGTTTCGGTGCTTTGGCTCTCCTGCGGTGCTTTTCGCCCTTACCAATCGATACTCTCCAAACTGGTGAAAGCATGTAAAAGCTAAGACAACCAGTGACAACCAGAAATCCAAGCAGGTGTCAGCTCCCATCCTAAGGTAAGGAGGTTCCTGCAAGGAGACCAGCCCCCTGACGATAGGTGAACCTCTCGAGCCATTGATCAAAGGATATCAAAGGTTACACTATTTGTGACCTGTGCAGCAACTTCTACGGGGCTGAACGGTGGTTTCTCAATTTCTGGTAGTGCTATGCTGCGTGTCTTTCTTGTCACCGACATCCGTCATGGTTTTCCTCGGATTTGTAGCAGGACCATGAAGGTTGGCTCTGACCATGCGTGCCTCTCGGCCAATTTTGTGTATATAAGTAGTATGGGGCAATTTGTTGGGGCTGTGTTGAAGTTGACTATGGGGTCCCCTCGTTTTGCTCCAGGACGATTATTGAGATGTGAGCAAGCACGCAAGCACGAGGGCAGGCCAGGCAGGCAGGCAGGCAGGAAGGAAGGAAGAAACAGAACAACTCAGCACAAATGCCCCAGAAAGCCCAGGCTAGTTATGAACCAACCACTGAACCAACCTTTGAGATCTTTCCTTGACTTGCTGGCGTAGTTCTTCAACATATTTGCAGGACGACTAGGTTCACCAGGCGCTGCCGTGGTGTGAAACCATGGGAAACCCGTGGACCCCGAATGCCCAGACGAAAAGAACAAAAGGAGACAACCCACCACCTTGGTGCCCTGAATAAGAAAGGACACCAAGGCTTCTTGGAGAATGTCTGATTTGCAAGCTTCATCAAGTTTCTTTGTTGCTCTTTGGCAGTTCTTTCCCATGGCCCATGAGGCTTTGGCTTTTGCGGTGACCGGGGCTACGCTGCTCGCAGCTTCGGTGCCGGTACCCCTTGGACCAGCGCGCAGGCAATGGCGGCAACGTTGATGTCGCGTGTGATGCGACGGTTGCAGGGCCGGTGGTTGGTGTAGGGGGGCCACGTTGCAAGAAGTTGTTCATTACTTTTTATATGAGATTCGATTTGAATTTCTTGGAGACACTGTTATGTAGGTGCCAGGGTCCAGTCGTACCGAACCTGAGAAGGTGCGACTGGATCCCTAGGGGTCATCTTACAGTACTCTCATGAAATTTCACAAACTCCGATCAGAAAATGTTGCTCTCTGGTTGCCTTGAGCTCGCAGGAGGTGCGCATGTTGATTTTCCATTTTGCAGCCACTTGCAGCCACTTGCAAGTGGCTGCCAAGTGGCTGCAAGTGACTGCTACTTCTGTCCGGAGAATATCATGATTTCTGAAGAAAACCAAGATTTCTGCAATGCTGCTTTGCGAAGAAATTCCGGTTTTCTCCCGAGCTGCGCGCGGAGAAATCATGAAATAGTCCAAGACTTTTCCGAGAAAAGAATTCAAAACTTCTGCAGAGCTAGCGACGAAGAAGTCTTACCGTTTTTACATAAAGAACTCAAAGTACAGTGTTGAAGTTTACGTGCTCGAGTGACAAGTGGCTGCAAGTGGCTGCCAAGTGGCTGCCTGAGCAAGTGGCTGCAAGTGACTGCAAAACAAATAATCAAAAATGTACGTCATTTGCTCGCTCTCTGAAATGTTGGGTGGAACCAGCCAAGTCATGAACAGCTTTGAGAGGAAAGCAACTAGAAGCTGTTGATTTGATCTGAATGGTTTGAATGTTCGTGTAGCCTGTCAGGGTAGTAGTCGTGAACATCTTTGTCCCAGAATGACCAACCATAAGCCAATTGGATTCAGTGGATTCCCGTTTGTGCGACGTTCTTGATCCCCAAAAGACCGTTTGAGGCTGCATCAGTTCCTCTAAACATCTGGGACTTGTGGGACGTGGGGGACTTGGAACAATGAATGGCACAGGAAAAACCAGCCTCTTCCGCTGTATCCGGATTTTGACATATCGGTTTACAATGGTTTACACGTGTCCATGCCTGTAAAATGCCCCACAAAGGACCACAGGTTTGTTGATGTCATTGATCTTTCTCACCTTTCTCGCCTTTTGGGAAGACACATCCACCATGAGGGATCCGGCATGCACGCTTGCGAACAAGTATTGAAGTATTGTCTAATTCCCCAGCTGATCAGGTGGACTATTGCTATGATATCGCGCTAGCTCCGAGTGCTCGCACCGCAGTGATGTGCGCCATCAATCAGATTAAGGGTTCCTTGGCCACAGGGAGAACGGTTTCTTCGTGCTCGACCACGGAGTGTGGCGAAGTGACCGGTCGATGGTTCCTTGGTTCCACACGGATCCACACGGAAGAGTTTCATGGCTTACTTCAGGTTCAATTCTTTCTCCAGGATCCACATGTGATGTGTGATCTACAAGCTAGGATTGGTCAACACTCAAACTCAAGTCAGGCGCAGAGAGAGAAGTTCAGAGTTCAGAGCTCCCAACATTTGAACGACTTCAAATGTTGAATCATCGAAATGCCTCGGTTTGACTTGGTGTCCGAATCCGATTCTTTGGGATCCTTGTGCACGGATGTCTATTCTTTGTTTGGCTTCATCTTCGCTCAGGAAAGGTGCCAGGCATCCGATTCGTGAACGTTGGCTATTATGGCCGGGGTTCGTGCAACTCGAACCCTGCGATCTTCGTCCAATCTAGCCGCCTGGCTGCTGAAGGTCGACGACCCCGCGGAGGTTTGCTGGACCAAGGATGGCCAAGGTCCCCGCCTTTCCTGCAGTTTTGCTGGGCCAATGTTCGTGAAAGCCATGAGGTTTCTTCAACACATCAAACTGGAGTATGGCCCCTGCAAGTAGGAATATTCTCTCAGATCACTCGTCCATGGAATATGCTAAAATCACTATAGTTCTTGCGAAACAAGATCGGTTTGTCTTGCGACTTCGGTCGGTTTGTTTTGCCGTTGGCTTCGCCCGGTCGACCGGGCCCCGTTCTGGCGACGGTCACCGAGGCGCTGCAGGCTGTTTTGCAGATATCGGCATGATGAGCCTCCTGGGCCACAGCGTGAAAGAGGGGTGACGAACAAGTAGAGCATTTGTTGTTTCTTTCAGGGGTTGGGTGAAGTGATGTTGGTTTTGTTTGGACAAGTGTGCAGAGACCAACCGCGGCAGTGAAGCTTCATCAAATTGTTTTGAGGATGTTGAATAGAAATGAAAAGAACATATATAATTAGTAGAACAAATGTAGAACATAGGTCTTTGTATAACCTGCATATGCGATAGCCAATGATAGCCGTTTTGTATATTTTCGTATGATAGATAGATGCACATTGATCATTCAAAAAACATCGTTTCACAGCAGCTGAAAAGCAGATCTACCAAGATAGAACATCGATATGACAGGTTTCTTTCCAGTTGCCGGCTTGTTCAAAATGAGAACAACTTTTCCTATACAGAGGAAGATTTGCAAAGGGATCCCGGGAGGAAAATCAGCCCAGGTGGTGTCCGGAGCATCTTCGGCAACCAGCAGCTCAACCTGCAAACCCCCGGCTGCAATGACTGCGGTACCGCCACACACGAGATGCTGCACGCGATGGGCATGGCGCATGAGCAATCGCGACCCGACCGGGATCGCTATGTGACCATCGCCCCTCGCCCAACGAACCGGCCGATGCGAACCGGGCGAACCGGGGTTTCTTGAACGAGCTGACGGAAAATATGGCTCTTACGGTAGCTGTTCAAGTGTTTTTTCCAGGAGGCTGCTTGGGGGGACAGGGTGGCACATAAACAGTGAAATCAGTGTACTCAGGCTGTGTGGCCAATAGCTCTTCAACAGCTCCCCGGTGATGAGACATCTTGGGCCCCCCATCGCCGCAGGTGTCCTGTGATGTTTTGCCTTTGTTCGGATGGAATTTGGAGAAGTGCCTTTATTTGATCTGTTTTGATTTGCGAACTTTGGGGAATTGGAGAAAGGTTGAACAACTCTGTCAAGAAGCGTCACCTCAAGGATACCATGTGATGGAAAAAAAGAGCGGTGACAAGCCCGACAGTGATTATAAAACATGGAGAAAGATGGAGAAAGTAGCAGTTTTTAGCAGAGTTGCAACAAAATGTCCTTGGACAAACAATGTCTCTCTCCACGGCGGATATTAACTTACTGTAAAGTCTTTGGAAGTATTGGGCCGAGAGAACACCTCTTGGTTAGGGTTGCACGTAGGCAGTTGATGGCACTTATAAGTGGGAGTGGTTCTGCCAGTTCTTGTCTCCCCACTTAGTTAAGTTTCGTGCCTCACTGTCGGACCACCGCACCCGCAAGTGGCACTGGTCAGCGCCACAGGTTTGGCACAACATCCAGCGGGGGATGTCAAACCAATTCTCAGTGATGTCCGGAGCAGACACGAGTCAGCCATATGACATCGGGCTGCTTGGCTTCAAGGGTCGGGTGAAGGTCGCGAGAATCCTTGCGATTAAATCTACATTAAATTGAAACTGGTCAGAGAAGTCTGAAACTCAAACGTTGCTGGACCGTCTAACAGATGTTTACTGATAACAACGGCATGCCTAGAATCACCTGTCAGAGAATTCCACCTGGTGATCAAGGCATCTCAGCGGAGCCTTGGAAAACGTAGAACCAGGAAGGATGGCATTCCATGTTTTTCTTTACATCAGCTGCATATGTTGGTGGGTTTTGACAGTCCTTCGCCCAAGATGGAGATGATGCCTTTGGCCCAAATGCCCCGCAGCTGTGTACACCTGTGTCAAGAGAGTTGTTTCATCTTGAGGATTCTTCCCTGCCTGCTTGGTGCATCATTGCTGTGAACTGATACCACCGCGAGATGGGCAAATGTTGCCAAGACTCCAATCATATGCTAGTTTTTTGCCCAAGGCCTGCCACTACACAACACTGTTTAGCACAACGGCGTTTCTGTGTGGCTGGGGGCGATACCGCAAAACAGCGTATTAAAATGCATCAGCGAACTCCCATCGGCGAAGAATCACTTGTTCGCGTTCCAACTCTCAAGCCCCTGTAAAGCACACAGCCCGCGGGTTCCAACAGGGCATGCTCAGGCACTTTTCAGCCCGTTATAAATATATGGGCTGCGCTCAAAAAGCCCTACTCAAAACATATAGATAAACGTAAACTTTTAAGTTTGGAGATGTGCTTTTAACTCTTCGTTTAGAAGCGGACCCCCAGCAGACTATGGTGATACAGCAAGGCAGCGCTAGGTTGGCGCTAGGTTTCTTCATAACAGGATGATAAGCAAGCAGGAAAAAGAAGAAGCAAGACAAGAACAGGAAAAACAAACAAGAAGAAGAAGAATGCACAACAAGAAGAAGAAGAAGACAAGCAAGCAGGAAAAGCAAAAATCTGACAAGAAAACATTGACGGAGATTTTTGCGCTAGGCTGGCGCTAGATCCGCGCTAGCACTGCGCTAGACGACGGTCCATTTCTTGACCATCTGACCATCCAACACCCAAATCTTTTGAGTCAGCTCTTACATCCTTCCCATGTCGTTCTGAAGGTTTCTGAGAACTAAGGATTGGAAACAACTGCAGAAGTCTAGAAGCAGCAGTAGCAGCAACAACAACAGCTCCAGCAGCTCAACAGGCTCCTGAAGGGTCCGCGCTAGACACCTCTCACAGTTTTTGCAGTTGACACGTCTTCATGTTTAAGATCCCGGTGGTTTGAGCGCGGTTGGAGTTTAAAGGAGATTTAGAAGCGGGCCCCCATGGAATTGCGATGAGTGTACCATTTTGGGAAAAGACATGTTCGAAACCAACCATATATAACATAACATTTTACTATATTATATATATATATATGTGTGTGTGTTGTTTTCTACTTATTAGAGAAAGACCTCTAAAAAGCTCATATGAAGCCAATCATTCCAAAAGGATTCAAGGATCATCAAGGATTTTGTGTTTTCTTAAATGTGTTTGTTTTCCAGCTTCGATGCCTTTAGGTCCATCATGCACTACGATTCCCATGCCTTCAGCGGGAACGGTCAGCCGACCATCGTCGCCAAGGGGTCGCTCGGCGGGACGCGCGGTGGCGCCACCTGGCGCGCGAGCCGGGCGCCGGTGCCCTGTGGCCGAGCCTCCCCCGTCCTGAAAAGATGAGGGTTCATAAGAAGCTATTAGTGGCTCCTGGCCATACTACTAGGAGCCAATAGCTACGTTCGTAGCGTCCTTGCTACAAATGTAGCGATGCCCTGACCGCTCCTAGTAGCGAAATAGCGAACCTTGCTCCTAGTAGTAAAGCCAGGAGTACCAGTAGCGTCCTTAATGGTCCATATAAAATGGGAAGTTGGGGGGGGCCGTTGTGCCATGAAAACTGATAAAAAAACACTAAGGATATGGAAGTGGATGACATGGTCTCTTGAAGACCACTTTCCCATACCAACAGGGAGCTTTCCACTTCCATGTTAGTGAGTCAGAGTGTACATCCTTTGGATGCATCACGCTGATTGAAAACCATCACGCTGAGTCCACATTTTGGCTGCCATGGATTGATGATTTGGTTAAGGCTAGGCTGAGTTGAGAGAAGTTAGAGTTAGAAACAATATCGAAAAACATTCATATATGCTAGCAGCTGGTGTGTTCTTTGGCAACCTTGATCATATTTTCTATCCAGTTGGACCTACCTTGCAAATTGTCAAGGACGGATTCCCAGTTGGTGAGGAGCGCAGAGTTGACACATGTTGACGCCGACATTGACACCCACACCATGTGGGGCAGAAAAGGAAGGCGGAAGAATATGGAAAACGTCCATTTGCAAACTCCACCACAACACCCACCTGTGTTGTGTGTGTGGTTTTTAGCTTGCTTTCCATCGCCACCGCTTCAACCCCACGGAACACACGGGCCTTCGCCGCGTCGCTCTCTCGCCCGCCCCAGATCTGCCTATAGTGCCGCGGCCCGCGGCTTTGGGAACTATGCACGTGGCTTGGGCGGAAGAATCGGCGTCCCGAGTCCGAACTCCGAGGGGCCTGAAACGAGTCCGAACACTTCTGGTCAAACACTTGGACACACTGCTGTTCTGTGTTCCAAGCAGGTGGTGGCACAAGAAGCCTGTGAAAGGAGCCTACAAGAGTCACTCAACTCTTGTCGACGATTCCGGCTCCATTTTCAGGGCTAGCGGCTACGTTCCCTGAAAATATTAATGGCAGTGGAAAACCACCTGTTTGCAAGTTTGTAGAAGAAAGGATCATCCAAAAAGAACATGCCATCCTGAATCCCCACAAAACCTGAGAACCTTCAACGGAGTGTACAATGCTAGTAGCTTCTTGTTACTAGTAGCGATGCACCTTGTTACTAGTAATGCCAGGAGCTACGTTCGTAGCGTCGTTACTCGTTTGGCAACCTGGTCCGTCGACCCCTGTTTGGTCCGTTCTTCCCAGTGAAAGGCCGTCGGATTTTTTGATTTTACGGATGTCACGGCGGCGGCTCGGCGGCCTTTTCGCGCAAGCTTTGGGATGAAGTTGGATCAACAAGTCTCACTTCAGCATGTTGATTGTTTCATCACATGTGACATCACATGTGTCATCACAGTTGGACTTGGATTGTTTCATCACATGTGTCCACGAGTCCACGAGATCCATTGGACTTTGGAGTTCGCCGCATCCAGACTCGCGAGTCCGAGAGCTACCAGTGCCCACCATCGTCATTGGGCTCGCAGGTCCGGTCGGTGAACTCTTCTCCCCCGGTGTCGGTGAGTCGAACGAAGCAAAACGACCAGCCATGCCATGGCCTTAGCCACGCGAGGCGTGAGATTGGGGCAAAGAACCAGCATGAGCGTCGCGGACGCCAATCAACTCAAGGCTTTGTACAACTGTGCCTTGACATCCGCCAGAGCGCAGCGGGGATTGCGCGAGAGGAGACGGAGACGGAACGGAGGGTGAACACCCTTGGATGTCGGATGCTTGAAACTGTTCCCCTAGGAAGCCTAGGTTGGATCATGTTGGATCTTGACATACAACAAGCCTCAAGAGGACAGCAACACTTGGCATATCTTGGCATATAAAACATTGCATAGGCAGATACATACTCAATACTCAGGATTGATGTGCTCCAGGAACCAAGTAATGCCCTCTCGGAACCATGGGTGTTTCTGAGTTGCCTTCTCCCAGCCGACTGTCCCGATAATGCAACCCACTATAACCCACTATAAGCTCGACTTGCCTGGCAAGAGAAGATGAACGGTTCTTTTGCACCTTTAAGAAAACCAGTTCATGATTTCCTTTAAGTGGTTTGGAACCGCTTGCCCTCATGGCCTAACGAATGAACAACTTGGATTACAGTAACCCTTTGTACGACTGGCAAGTCCGTGTGAATAGTTTTAAAGCATGGATGAGGCTCAACGCCCTGATCATCAGCCTGATCTTAAAAAGCTATACCACCATGTCACCACTGCGTGCCGCAGAACTTGAGTTTCGGGCCTCCAGTCGGATGGAGCTTGCAACATGTTAACTGTCTTCATGGCCCCAGCCATCGCTGGGCTGTCTCACTGGTCGCCTCTTTTCCGCCGTCAGGTAGACCACCTTCCTTCACTTACTGTGACCCTGTCAGTTCTGGACAGCCGGGAAGCGCGCGGAACCGGGAAGCGACGATCGCACTCGTACAGACTGGGTCCCCACACATAGGGCCGTGAAAGAAAGAATTTCGACTGGTCTGTCAGGTATCCATATGGCAGTTATAAGCTTGTGTATATATATATATTTGTATAAATATATATGTCGCAAAACCCGAAGGAATTTGCACTACCATATATATATATATATTGTCCATTGGCAGGTCACCAATAGACTACCCTGCACTACACCGGATCGGACGCACGCTTCTGAGAGGGATTCGGTCCGACCAACCTCGCATGGAGCACCCCTTTTCAAAGCTCGAGACCGACAGTTCCAGAGCCCAAACCCTCAAAGCTGAACAAAAGCCGCACTAATCAACAGAAAACACCCACCCCCCAAAAACATACTTATTCAAAACAAACATAAGCAGAGCCTTCCGAAAAACACCACGTGTTTGTTCCCGCTTCACTCACTCCACCCCACCGGGGTGCTTCGGATCGCGCGCGCGCGCGCGAGGATTGTCGTCAGTCCCGCTCCTCCTGGGTGGTGGGGCAGTGGCAGCCGCCGGAGTCGCTGGTTTCTTCGTGCCTTGGAGAATCAATGGAGGTTGAAGTGAGGGATGAAGGCCATCAGGCGCCGAGGTCGGTCCAGGGGAAAGATGACAGACAAAAACATGGTCCAAGGGGTTGGTAAAGGAGCGCAATTGTGCTTGAGAGGACTTTTGTTCACTGTGTGCAGCTGTACAAAACGTACAGTACACAAATGCAGCCGACCATCATACGTATGTGACAGGCGATATGACAGATTCATTGGAATGTCCCTTTGTGAGGAGATGGAGAGTTCATGCACTAAGTCCAATTCGATCGCCCTAAGTCCAAGCGCTCAGGGCTCTTCGCAATGAATCATTCATGCTCAATCAATCGGAACTGACGAATGTGCCCGTTCGGGAAGAGAGGCAAACAGTGAACGTTCACAGGCTGTTTGTGATTGTAGGTACGTACCAGGGCGTAGCTTATTTCAACGTGTTAGTTGAGTAGTTGCGTAGTTGATCATAGGGACGGAACTTGATCGTTTAGACTCCCATCTCGAATGGGCGGTTGCAACGCCTAGGCGGGTTGACTGAATGGGTCGTATGTTCAAGTGATAGGAGGACCCATTATAGGGCGTAGGGTCTCAGTTAGGAGGACCTGAGACAGGTGTTCAAGTGATTCATCCAGTGGTTCATCCAGCTGAATGGTCATTGACGACCCAAAACCCTAAACCCATCAGACCCTAAAGACATCCCTGGAGGATCTGCACAAAGCGATGATCACATGGACATTCGCCATTCTCAAGCCTCTCAGCCGTTGGAGCAAACGCAGAACTGAGCACAAACCACCTAACCACCTGGGCTTGTAGTTTCAAAGAAAAGCACAAGGCTCGACCCAAAAAGGCTCGCCCGAAATCGCAGGTCAGTCCGTCAAGACAGTCATCTGGAAGATGAGGGAGCGACTGGTGACAGGGTCGAACCAACGGAGAAAGAAACCCATCGAACACAGGGAGCCACGCCGGAAGTCGGAACCGGAGCGGACCTTCCACCGACCGCTTGATGAACGAACGTTGGAGGTGCTGCGCAGCCGCCAGCCGGAATACTCGAGCACTCTGCAGAGGGCTCCTGCATACTGAGCGCGGGAGGCGCCCGTCCGAAGTCGACTGCACAGCGACTTTGTCATCCTCCGGCTTACTGTAATTTAAATCAATTAAAGCTCTATAGCATGCTCAAAGCATGCTTTAGCCATACCAGAGCTTGGTAAGAAGAGTTCTAGCACACATAAAACGATACATGTTTTAGACAATTCGAGTCTTGAGAACTAGAACTCGCCAGCTATGGTACCGTGTGGAGTTGCAACCGGAGCCTTTGTGCCCGGCACTCCGCAGTGCTTCGCCACCGGAAAGCATTGAGAGTTATCTCGAGCTGTCATACCTTTGTTGCAGAATGCTGCAGATGAAAGCTTCATTTGACTCTACTTTGATACAGCATATGATATTAGTAATATGAAATGGTCTTTAACATATACATTTCATATGATATTACATATATGTTTTTTTTATCATTGAAATGTATAATGAAGGTAGCTTCCAAAAGCTACTAGTGTATGTTAAGCACATCTTACGAAGTGCGGGTGGGGCTGGCAGGTTGGGATCTGCCGCTCCAGAAGATTTCCCTTCTCAATTTGCTCATGACACCCCTCCTTTCACTGATCAATTTGCAAAAGTGCCCTAGACAAATTGATTCCCCCAGCAAATGCCACTAGATGTCCATGCATTTCCTTTCATTTTGGCGGTGTGGCATCGTAGCAGCGGACACTCCGGCACATGGCACTTCTACCAAACTAGATCGACATATCAAGAGCATCAACCGGAGATGGGGTCAAAATGACCGACCCTTGGATTTGAGAAAACGAGCTTCAAGTTTTCCGGCTGCGGTCAGAGGTCAGCGACTGTGTCTGCAAAAATGCACTCTCCGACGGGAGCGTCAACGGTCTAAAGTTTAGGGGGGTCAGATGGCCTTGGCCGCGCAAAGACGGCATCTGTGGTCGACACAGAGAATAGTTTGAGTTGGACTTGTCACTAAAGGTCCCAAGGCTTCAGGGGCCCCATGGGTTGCAAAACAAGCAGTTAGGCCTCCTAAGCGTACCAGGGGTTTTAGAGATCGGGGGATGCGTAGGACAACCGTCCAGGGATGGTGGAGGCTCTTACTATCATGATCATGTCGTTCGGCGCATTCATACTCGCTGTTTGTGGATCAAGCGAGCAGCCTTAAGGGACCAACCTCGCAAAACCGCAGCGGATGAGATCTATGATCGATAAGAGGGAACCCGGAAGCGTCATTCTGTGCTTTTGGATGGGAAACCGGATCACATCCTACCCCTATCTCGCAACTGGACGAATGGCGGTGGTTCGTGCCTGATCATGCTGGGACACTTCCCAGATAGAATGCCAGAATATGCCAGAATAAGGGTTCTTGTTGACAAGTATCATAGGCAAATGAAGCCTGTTCAGCCCAGAGAGGAGAGCATCCCCGCCCGAAGTTAAGGAGCTCAAGTGGGCTTCCAGGAGCGCCACAGAAAACTTGGAGCTCCAGGAGCCCCTAGGAGCGTCTTTGCTCCGTGCCTTTTGCTCCTGGTGTTATTTTTCCTCGTTGACCGCCCTGGGTCTCCTTTTTTTCAAATTTCCCGGGCGCTCAATTTCCATGGAAAGCTCTGTGGACGTGGCCGAAGCGCTGCGGCAGCTGGTGACGCAGCGCGCGCAGAATCGGCGGCCCAGCTCGGCACAGCCGGTGTTGCACCGCTCAGAGTTTGTGCCTGAGCATGGTGAGGACAGGATATATCTTGACAGCGGAGGCCATCGCTAGTATAGGTTGGAGGCCATCGCCCTTTGGTTGGAGACCATCGCTAGTAGGTTGTTCACCATTGCTGCTGTGGTAGGATGAAGGCCATCATCGCTATTGGGTTGGAGGCCATCGCTATTAGGCTATTAGGTTGGAGGCCATCGTTACTAGTAGGTTGGAAGCCATCGTTGCTAGTAGGTTGGATGCCATTTCTATATATTAGGTACGTTGAAGGCCATCGCTTCTAGACTGGAGTTTTTGATTTTTTGGGGAAAGATGCGTCACGGGTGATCATGGGTGCGCTTTCACGGATGCTTTTCCCTGTTTGTCCTCTCCATATGGCTTTTGGGTGCTTGAAGGAAAACACGGGAGGAGCCCGGAAATGTGGAAGAGGCTTGTTGTACGTCGGTTCATTGGCAGTTTTCCCTTTTTGAGGAAAGTGAAGAATGAGGTGTTGGGTGGCTCAGATTTCGAAGTTTTGGAATGAAAAAGCTTTGCCGGCCTTTTTCAGGCAGTCGAATCCGCAAAAAGCAAGAAACATGTTGTTTCCCAACATCAAAGAGAACATTTATTGCGCAAAAGTGTTCAGAACCGTTCACCGACAACGGAAAGAAAACCCAGAGACGCGAGATGACGCGAGAGCTGAGACAGCTCCTCTCAATCCGTCCAGGAGAACCGAGAGGATTGGAGTTCCCGGATCCCCCCGGTGCAGCATTTGGAGCACAGCTTACCCTTCTTCGAACACATGGAGGAGTTACCAGCACGGGAGTCGAGAAAGCGATTGACCCGCACGTTTTTGCGAAACACGTGCGCGATTGTTGGGCGAACAACCAAAGGTAAGGGGGGGTGATTGCTTGGATGGCGATGTTGAGAACCACCTATCAACAGATCGGCAGATATTATTCAACAACCAGCTTTCGCTCCTGCAAGTATAGTTACTTGGCGTTTTCTACTCTGACTAAACTTTCCTTGCTCCACACTCCCCAAAGTGCCTGGGGCGTCCTTTTTGGGATTTGTTTTTCCTCGAGGAGCGGCTCGACGCCTTGTCGGACCAGCGGATCTCCTCATACAAGGCAGATGCGGCAGATGTGATTGATTAGGAAGCCGTATCAATCTGCCGCCGATCGATTCGATGCGTTTCCCCGTCCCTTGATGGCCTCTTCCGCTCACAACCCCAAGGCATGTTGGCGTCCAGTTTGGGCATCCTTTTTATGTCGTGCATGTTGTGGAGACACTGGGGTTGCTGGTCACGCTCTGGCTTGTCCAGTGAAGGATTGTCATTCGGTGTCAGTAGTACGTGGGTCAGCTGGCAGTTAGTTAGAAGTGTCACAAGTTGAGTCGATGAGGTGAGTTTAGGATCACTGCAGGTTTATGGTGCCTAGGGCGCGGTGATGTGCTGTGATTGAGTTCTTTTGGGGTGCATGAACTGTTATTAGGGCATGAAACATGTAAAAACGTCCCAGCTAGAGTTTGAGAGCTAAAATCATGTTGGCCTTGTTGTTTATTCCAGTCGGATCTACTGTGTACCGGGGTTAAGTCGTTTGGAAGACGGCGTGGCCTTGCGAATGTTTTACATCAGACCCTCCTAAATTTCATATAGCACATATACATAACTATACTAAGCAATCGTTTTACGCGACATTTCCAAACTTAGTAACTATATGTATATGGTTTTTAAGCGCATATTTAAGAGGCTTATTTCTGAAGAACACATGACTTCAGAACGCTACCTGGACTAAGGTTGGGTGTGGTGATACTGTGGTGATTCAACACCCAGGCAGCAAGAAATCAACACCAAAGTGGTCGTTTCGTCCCAGCGTAGGCAAGAACATATGCAGTTTCGAGTTTGGGCGGGAAGATGTGGTACATAGCGTGGCCGGCCATGGTGTTTCACTCTAGTAACAAGGGCATAACTACTAGTTAGCAACTAGCTACTAGTAGCTTCTTGCTGCTGGTAGTAATGCCCTTAGCTACTAGTAGCGATCTTGTCTAGAGTCTAGGTGACTTTCCATGAGCCACGTGACGTTCCACTGTCGCGTGCCCATGCCGGGTGACTTTCTGCGACCGGTTTAGTCACCACCCCGGCAGATGAGAACAGAAACAGAGGCCGTGACAGACCTCTTTCGCCGCGCAGATTTGCGATGCAGCCAATCGTTACGGCCACTGCCAGGTCATCGAGCGCGAAGTGTTGGACCGGCGGAACACAGCGGAGCTGCTGCAGGTGAAGTACCGCGAGGCGGAAGCCAGGCGCGGCGTGGCAGGGCGGCGCTCGTGCGGCAGCGGGGCACAGTGGGGGAGCATAGTGGACTTGGGAAAGTATAGGGCGTTTCCAACAGAGCTTGGTGTTACTTCCATCCATCGCTGCAAGCTGCAATTGACTTGGGTACGCACTTTCCCTGGCATGACTTGACTTCCATTTGTTCATTGGACTTTAATCCATTGAGTTGCATCCGTGACTCATAGTGTCATAGTGCTTGCCCAATCGGCTTACACTTAGCGTGAATTACCTGATCAGCTACAACGCCCCCACTGTGCCTACAACTATGCGTTGACAGATTGATGGAATTAGCGCGCGGCATGTCACTATAGTAGCACTTCAATTTCACAACTGACTGATGCTTCTCAATTGGTTGGCAGGTTGTAATGGCCAACGGGGGGTCAAAATACATGTTTTTGTTGCTTGACATTCATTCCTTGCGCCTCCGCGGGCTCCAGAACGTTCACCAGGTTCAACCATCGAAGGATTGGGGGGGTTCCCCCCTCTTGTGCGACGAGGGTCAGGGGATTCGCCTCCCCTCTCTCCTTCGAACACCAGGAGTGGCTCCTAAACACCTGGTTGAACTGACATGGACCTCGATGTTCGACTCAGTCCATAACCAACCTCCAGTAGGTGAAGAAGAAATAGAGAGACAGCGAAGAAGCAAAAGCACATGCTTAAAGAGATTCGCTTGACGTGCATATTTTCCTCCCAAGTTGTTTGGTCTCAGCACCAGGTGAACCGGAGGAAAATCCACCCCTCCACCAGGTGCGCTGCCGCAGAACGGCGGCTGGAGCAATTTCGGCAGAACGAGCGCAGGCTGAAGGCCACGCAGGAAGAGATGCGTGTGCTTTGGACGCTTGGCTGCCAAAGCAGGTTGGCTCGGCTGCAGTGCCTTCTTCGCACCGGTCACCGATCGCCCATCACTGCCGATCGCGCCAGTGCTGTGCCCAAAAGAGATTGGTATAGACTGGTGACATCAACGGCTGTGGGAACGAATCAGACAAGTCATCACGGGGAGTTCTGGTTGCATTTCCCTCGTGTTCTTTGCATATGGCCTAATGAGAACGGGGCTCAGAAGCGATTCCCACCGACAAGGCAAGAATCAAAAGTCTTAAGCCTGATTTGTTGCATATATGTGTTGCATATTTTAGTATTTTAGTGCATGTATGTTGTTTATTGTTCCGGAATGTGTTTTTTCCAGATTTGCCAATTAGTGGAGCTTGCGGCTAACTAGCGAATCTGTTGTCTTTGTTCACCGCGTCAACTGAAAACCATCTCGAAAACCGTCGCTGTCCAGGATGTACGTGGAACAGGCCAAGGAGGAGAACCGAGGACTGCGCGAGACCCTGGAGGCCAAGGACCAGCAGATCGAAGCGTTGCAGGCAGAGTTAGACCCCCGGAGCAGGGGCTTTTGAGTCGGGTTCAGAGCTGCCAGTCGGGTGCCACGTGGTATGGGAGTCCCGCCGTGTTGGAATGAGAATTGGACGAACGTGTATTTCTGGAAGAACGACAAACAAATTGGGGTCCCACGCAGTCCGTGGTGCAATGAAGAAAGAGAGCCTCAAGGTCGGGGTATGGGTTTCAAACTGCCAAAACTGACTGGTGCGACGAGAGTAGGGAATGAGGGTGGCTGGATCCAAAGGCATAATAGGAATCTCTAATGAATCTCTATGATAGGGGGTTCATTCATGTTCATTCCCCACATTTCCCTACGAATCGCACCGAAAAAGGAAAGGGCTGACCTCTCCAAACATAGAACGCCGGTAATTTTTAATACGAGAAACACCGCGCCTGGCGAGTTGATCCGGTGCCAGTCTTCAAGTCTAACTACACAAAGATTTGCATCTTTGCAAGACTCGGGCTCCATCCAGCTACCCAATTCTTTGGAGTAGTCCAGGCAGTCCAGGGTATGTTTTTGAATGGTGGCCGCACTTCTCGTTTTGCACTGAGAGGAACCAAGGTGCCGGATATGTCAACCAAAATCTAGATCCCGCCCTTTAGAGCGACCGGCGTTTCGGAGATCTAAAAACGACCAGTTCTTGCGACAATGCTTCTCCTGACTAAACCAATGAACGTCCTGGAGAATAGATCGGAGACAGGATAAAACATCGTCCACATCGTCGAGGGTGAACGGCCGATTGTTTGTACCCAAAGTCGTTTTGACCCAAAGCCTCTCCTGCTTCGTCAACTCGTATGATACGAGACCGGTGCCTCGATTAATTCACTTGGGCAACCTGGACGGCTGGCTGAGGTGTTGGTGGACCTGAAAAGAGTCCCAGAATTCGTTCGACGTCCTCGGGTATTTGGTGGAATGCCTAGATGGCCACAGCTGGAATGGATTATCCCCCACAGTGAGATGGCTAGCTAGCTGCCCAGAGCCCCCCGCTGAGGAGAGAGGCTTCGAGCGTGAGCAAGCCATCTCTGGGATGCCCAAGGTGTTTCGCCAAGACAAGCGGACAGCAGTGTCTGGGCTGGAAGCAGGTTGCTTGCGGGGCTTGCGGTTGGAACAGGTTTGGGTTTCCATTTTGGTTTGTTGTATGGTACTTTTCCGAACTCCCTTGGAAAAGATGAAAGAGTGAGAAAGTGAATAGTTGGACATAGTTCATAGGATTTGGTAAGTCAACTTTGCATAGCAGAACGATCCTGCATGGCATAGACGAGTCACTTGTGCTCCCAGTTGACATCCAGCTGCTTCTTTGGGGGAGGAGTGGTGAAGATTCGTATCGCCGGTACGGACCCACAGAGGCCACACATTGGCCCCCTTTTCAAAAGATGTTCTAATCAAATCGTGTCCATCTAGTGTATCACGCTCATCGGTGGCTTCATGGTTACCCATCAAAAGCATGAGCTCGTCGTGGTGGCGCTCATGCATGAGCTAACTACAGTGGTCCTGAAAGGCCAACGGGACCTGGACACAATGAGTGGGGGCACATGCTCATTTCCTTGGGAAGAGAGTGTGATGTTCTAATTGGTCCGTTGTTCTCGTTCTTTTCCTTGGAGACCGGAGCTTCTTAGAAGCTGTACTGTACCGCCGGGCGTGGTCGCCCATCAGCACGAGGTCATCAAGCAGAACATTGCAGGGCAGAAGATGGGCGACGAGGCTCCAGACACCTCGCGAGTGCGAAAGAAGAAGAGCCCTTCGAAGAGGAACATGAAGGCGTGGCCAGTTCGGCAGTTCAGCGCTGCGGTTGTTTGCGCTGGGAGAAATGAGTGAACAAAGAGTGTGTGAAGAAAGAATGTGAACAAGGAGAGGTGCTGAGGTGCTGGCCCTGGGCCCAGGGGAGGGCTTTGATTTCGATTCAGGCTCCTCAACTCGCGCAGATTGAAGCCTTTGAGTGCCTTGGCGTATTCCAGCTCACTGGACCAGGTGCAGGAACCGTTTGAACTCGGCAGCTGGGCCGAAACCCGCCACACAGCTCCAAGAGGTGAAAACAGACCCGTGTTGTTATAGTCAGGTCAAGTTCATGGCTGCGCTCATGTTTTCTCATTTTGTTCTCAGGATCATTGAGGAGTAGTGTTTCTTTTTCTTGTGGGTGCTAGAGGTTCAGCCTTCTAGCCCTAGCTTTAGCCATGGATAGCCACGGTTGAATCAAATGATGTATCCGCATTTGTTTGAAAGGATGCGTGAAAGGTTATCCTGGATACAGTAATTATATAGTATGTTTTTTGGCAGGTTGAGTTGGCGGCCGAATTGGTCAACAGAGGCGCCGCGGTTGTCGAAATGCACTGGTAGCATAGGGTTGAACAGTGTATTGAATGTGCCCATTGGTCAGACTCCTGGCATCGCACTTGGAAGTACTGTAGATTAATTTTTGGTTCCCACGCTTGAGAAGTGGTGTTCACGTCAATACCTTCACCAGCCTTGCTGGCATCGTTCTAAGGAAAGTCATTCGAATGGAGGAGGACGCAAGGTTCCCAGCCTTACCAGCCAGGCAGCCTGCTGGTTAACCCAGCCAGGTGGTTCTCCAGCCAGCTAGCCTTGAGTTCGGAGCGCCAGCCATAGATACAAGGAGCCAAAATAACTTTTAGAGCAAACAAATCAAAAAAAAAACAACCAAAAAAAACCATGTAGCTTTGCATGTTTATCGTGTGTTATCACGTTTTTTCGCTTTATTATCTTTATTTTCACATGGTTGTTCCGCTTTATGTTCGCATTTGTTTTCGCATTTTCCTGGTACCACTTCTGCACTTATGAAAACTTTAACCGCCAGCAATATTCGCTGCACGTTCCTAGGGAAAAAGCAAACACAAATGTGAAAATACACGAAAACAAGTGAAAAAGAAAAACGCACCAAACACACAAGCTACATATGTGGCTTGCTTTGTTTGCTTTACTGTTGATGTGTTTGTGTTGTTTTCTTCGCCTCTTGTTGTGCTTTGTTACATTGTTATTCCCCACCTGCCAGGTGAGGGTTGTTAGATTTTATCACAGTTGTTCTTCCTCTTCCTTCCTTCCTTCCCTTCCCTTCCCTTCCCTTCCCTTCCCTTCCCTTCCCTTCCCTTGCCTTGCCTTGCCTTGCCTTGCCTTGCCTTGCCTTGCCTTGCCTTGCCTTGCCTTGCCTTGCCTTGCCTTGCCTTGCCTTGCCTTCCTTCCTTCCTTCCTTCCTTCCTCCTTGCTTCCTTCATCGCCAATCTGCTTCGCCGATCTTGTCTGGCCAGCTCCGGATCGCAGTGTGCACCCCTGGACCTCAACCGCAAGGATCCGATCGCAGTGTGCATCCCTGGACCTCAACCGCACCCCTGGACCTCAACCGCAAGGATCCGATCGCAGTGTGCACCACTGGACCTCAACCGCAAGGATCCGATCGCAGTGTGCACCGCTGGACCTCAACCAGATAGTTTGCCAGATAGAGTGCCAAGTAGGTTGCCAGATAGAATGCTGCAAGAAGATATGCCAAATAGTGTGTCAGATAGATTGCTAGATACATTGCCAGATAGAATGCCAGAGAGAATGCCAGATAAAATGCCAGATAGAATGCCAGAAGATATGCCAGATAGAATGACAGATAGCATGCCAGACAAAATGCCAGATAGTATGCCAGACAGTATGCCAGATAGTATGTCAGATAGATTGCCAGATAGAATGGCAGATTGGATGGCAGATAGTATGCTAGATAGGTTGCCAGATAGAATGCAAGAAGATATGCCAGATAGAATGCCAGGTGGGGATCACTCGAAGTAAAGTAATTTGTTTTTGTAACGCTTTGTGTTTTGTTTTTTGTGCATGTTCATTGGCTTTTGTTTTGTTCTTTTAGTGCTTTTGTTTTAAACCTTTATTTGATGGTTGGTCATGTATGGTTGCCATCGCTGAACACAAAGCTAGTCCTGAGATCATGATAAACTTCCACTGCGAAGAGTAGAGTCAAAGTGTTTTGGCTCATGCGTGATTGGCCAGAGGCTGCGATTGTGGGTCTTTTTGAAGGCCCTTGAAACTAGAACCGGATGTTAGGAACATCATCCGCCGGACCGACGCGTCTTTGGTTTCACTTTGAAACACGAAGAAGCGGAAAAAATGGGGCAGAGACAGAACATCAATGGCCGACCATTCGGAGAGATGGTGCATTAATGTAAGGAATATCGGGATGTCGGTCGATTTTTGCCTCAACAGTTTCTTCTTATTTAAAACAGCAGCATAACAATGCTTACTGTAAAACATTGCAAAGCCACCAAGAAGCTTGTTGTGTTCATCCCAGGGCTGTGGCACTGCTTTTGGGTTTCGGTGCGGCCATATCACGAAAGGTAGCCGTAGCCCTTTAAGGGATACCTTGAGTTTATCTTGCGAAGCAAGTGTTGGCGCGTCCGGGTCTAATAACCCCCCCCCCCCCCCCCCCGATTTGTTTTTCCAACACACCCCCCCCCCCGGTTGGAATTGATTTTTCAATACAGACCCCCCCCACTCACCCCTCTAAATTCAATTCTCTCCTGGACAACGTCTTCGCGAGCCTCTCATGATTTCAGGATAGTTGAAACCCTCTTGAACATTCAG